ATTTCTGTATGGTTTTAAACAGGTCGCAATTCTGACTATCACTTAAATTAGGGGAACCTCTTGAGCTCTTTCTTTTTTCTACAAAAAAAATAGGGGGGAGGTAAAACACGCAATAAATGCTGGAAGGCCTAAATAAATCCACAGCTAACTAAAGCAAATCAATTTTCTTCACTTTCTACAAATACTGCATGGTCGTTGAAGATTTGACATTCAAATTCTACTAGGCTACTTGCTCAAAAATCACTTAAGAATTAAGCATGCTATATGAACAAAAGCAGGCGGTATTTCGATCGTGTCAGATTTAAAAAAGCTTTTTCCCCGCGAGAATCTAGCTATTTTCTCCAAAAGGTGAAAAAGCTGTTTTGCAGATAGTAAAATAATGAAAACTAATGATTTCCTTAGCTTTATTTATCACATTTATTATTTCAACTTTGGAATGGCCTTAGGCAACAGTTATGGCTTGGACGTAGTTAGCTGTGAAGAAATCAACTTAAATTGACCAAAAGCGGTCTTCCTTCTTCCTTTCATTTTGAGACTCTAACGACCTCAGTCCAACCAATCAAAACTGCAACTACTTAAATCTTTAAACTAAATAGGTTTATGCGGGAAAAATTAATGGACCAAGGTTGGGAAATCCAATCACTTGAAGACCTAAATAAGATCTATAAATTGGCTCTGGCAACAGAACTAACTTCAATACAGGTTTCGTGTCACCACGGCTCACATTGATCACGTTGTTTGGTACGCTATTTCACTACTCAAGACACACCTACATGCAAGGCCAAGATCATCTATTAGGCAAGGCAGGTTTATTATTGGTGAGCATTTAAGAGAGCATCATAGATTACATTTTTCTGATTCAGTTCAAATTCATCAACAACTCTTTTTTCAACTAATCTTTTTTCCCCCTAAAATATATATATTGGTTTACAATTTCGTAAGAACAAAAAAAATGCTTTCTCAGAAAAATTTAAAGTTTTATTCGATAAGCCCTTAAACAAACATTTAAGAAAAGTAAGGAAAAAAAACACCAAAGACTACCAAAAATGAACGAATTACGAAAGCCGGCAACTGAAATTCCTTATCTCAAGGAACATCTAACCTGACTTTCCGCTGAAGTAACTTGAAAGGATTTAGCGAGTAGAACAACATTATGAATGAATGAATAATAAAAGTAGTGGCAAGCTGTTTGTATTAACTAGCCAAAGTATGAACTCCAGACGAACGAAAAAAATAAGAAACTCAACTGACGAAAATTTCTTACCTACGAAGCTTATGCAAATTTAGTCGTTTGATTGATTAAAGACCATATATTCAGTTCACTTATCATACTCTAACCCATTATGCGACAGAATAAATATATGATAAGTCGATATTAAATAGCCGGCTTTTAGTCAATTTGTTTCTCACAAACACTCCGAACGTACTTTCTTAATGTCGCGACTTAGTTTCAAAAAATTTTCACTGATCCGAACCAATGATCTTTGTCGCTCAATGAATATTTTAAGTAATGTAGGCCAAGTTTTTTCAAGGCTATAATTTCAAGTAAAACGTGTCTCGCGTAGCACGTTCATGCTCGTGCACGTCATCCCGTGCTGCTGATTTGCATAAACGTTGAAAATAAATTTTTTTGGAGTGAAAACCCTTTTAAATCATTGAACTTGTTTATTTAGATAATATGGGTGAGTCTCGACTCTAATGAAGGTAATTAATCCTTGCTGAGAAATGAGCATTTGAAGTTTGAAAAATGCACCAAAACCAGGTCATCAAAGCCTCCAGTGTAACTCTATTTTTGATCTTTCATAACTTCTTCTTGGTATTCAGTCAAATTTAACAATTTTTTTTGGGAAATAGTTTTCATGAAGTACTTTCTCAAATAGCATTGAACGTTTCTGGTAAAAAGGCCTCATTTTCTCTATCCATTAGAAAAAAACTGAGTTATGAGAACCCTGTACATGTATATAGGTTCTCAACAAGAAAGACTTACGAGGCGAACGTTTGGGGGTTTATTTTTTTGAACCTGCCACACGAAAACAATSGAGTTTTTTTTGGCAGAAGCGGAGGTAATACGTGCTTAACTGTAATGCAACCTGTCTAGTTTTGGATTAAGTACTAATTAACTACACTGAGCTTATTGAAACGGTCTAGGAGCTTATCTGAGTTTTAATTCCGGAGCAATTTGCGCTGGAGAAAATTATCATAATTTACGTTAGTTCTTCCTCGAAGGTAAAGAGGAAAAGAGAAAAAGTGAAGGCTAAAGGCAAACAGAAATAGCTACAACAAAATCCCAAAACCAGATTCTTCAGTGAGTGAATAAGTTAAAATGAGTTCTTACTGAAGGTCCGGATAAAATGGTTCTCAAAAATAAATCATTCTAGGTTAAGGATTTTTAGTTGATTGGAGGTAACTTCTTACGAGTGGAATGATCAAATCATAGATCAGGTATTCCGTAATGTTGAAACTTGTTTTAATTTACCAAACTCGACTTCTTCATTTTCAGGTTCGTAAAGTACGACTGATAAAATGGAAATGCCCCATATACTAGGTGTCATTTATATGACTGTTATTTCGTTTGGCGGGAGCATATTCAATGGAATGGTAATCATTGTCCTGGTCAAAAACATCTCTACCATCACGGTTCCCAATGTATTCATCCTCAGTATTTGTACAAGTGGCTTCCTCGCCTGTTCCATGGCAATACCGCTGGCCATTTGGTCCGTGACGGTGGGAAAATGGAACGATGTGAGCTGTCAAACACATGCCTTTTTTATCTATCTGTTCGGGATGGTGTCGATGGTGCACATGGGAGCTATAGCAATGGAGAAGTACCTGACAATCGTCAAGTACACAAATACTGCTGGACACTTTCTAAGCCTCAAGCAGTCAGTGATAGTTGTCGTGATTTTGTGGGTCTACTCAATCTTTCTTAGTACGCTACCGTTAGTCGGTTGGGCAAGGTACGGACCTGAGGCTGCTAACGTCACCTGTTCCTTGAAATGGGATCAAAGAAGCGCTTCTGACTTGGCCTACTTTGTCATCATGTTCCTGGGGTGTTTTCTTCTGCCAGTTGGGGTCATGTCATTCAGTTACTATCGCATATTCAAAGTCAGGCGAAAGGTTTCCGTATCGAGGTCCAACTGTATCTTAAATCTGTCAGACCACGCCAAGGCGGAACTAAAAAAAGAAATCAACACGGCAATTCAACTACTTATTCTTATCTTTGGGTATCTCTTAGCCTGGACGCCGTATTCCATTGTCGTGATATTAATCATCTCTGGTGCGCCACAGACCGCGTCTGTCTGGTTGCTTATGTCCAGCTTGTTTGCCAAGGCTTCCTTCATGTATAATCCGGTCCTATATGCCTTTATCTCCAGGCAGTTTCGCAGGAAATTCGTCAGAACATTCTGCTGTGGCATATCGATTAATCGAGTCGGTTCAGGATGATTTAGTTCGGGAGAGATCAGAAAACAGAGTAGAAACTGATTAAACTTGTAGAAAAAAACACAACTGACTAATGCTATTCAGAAAACGCATTAACGACGATCCACCAATGCAGCATTCAGAAGCAAACTTCTCAAGTAAAAATTAAAAAATACAATATTATTATAAGCGCCTGATCTTCTTCAAAGCTGCGGGGGAAAAACGGACCAGCCTGTTACCATGGTGATGATAACATCCTGAATGCATCGCGGATGTATTACCCACAGGTAGCCCAAACGTAAAAGTCTAACGCGTCTAATCGTCGAGCCACTAGAAAAAGGGAAAAAAAGTACTTTGACTTTGTTTGAAAAAACAGTTATGCTGTCAACGTATTGAAAATTATAGTTTATTTGGGATTGTTAAATGTTTGCCTGTTACACTGTATACATGCAACATTTTTGATCACTTTTAACTAAGCGAATCTTGTGCGTGCTTCATAGAAGCCTTTCGTTCATTCGGGATGTCGACTGACCTCAAAAATATTACACCGCTCTTTGCCAACCAAAATAACGGTAGCTGCAGTACTGTAGCGGCTTGAGTAAATCACTACACCGGAAAGCCAGCCCATTTGGTGAAGCTATAAAGCAGTTATAGTTTAAATATAGCTATTTCAAAAAAGTGTTGCATTGAATGTTGGATCTACTGATACTGAAAAACAGTTGAAGTGATTAAACTAAAGCTACGTCCACACTATGCCGGATGAATTTGAATCCCAATTTTTATTTATTCGTTTAGGCCTACCGTCCACACTAGTCCGGGCGAATCCGAAAACGATTTTTTTCGAATACGGTCTCCGGAGTGGAACAATTTGAAAACGCCGGCTAGCCGTATTAGTGTGGACGGAAAACTTTTTTTTCCGGTTTCGGTGTGAAAATTCGGATTCAAATTTATCCGGCATAGTGTGGACTGTAAATAAAACCGGCCATTCTGTATTTACATAAAATAAAATATTTTGGATACGTTCAATCTCACGAATGTATGTTCAACCTGAATTTGGCTTTGATATTATTTGCCACTAACACATGAGTTGCTATAAACTCTACACTCTTCAGTATGCGCTATTCAACATTTTTGAAATAGCTGTAAAAATGTAGTATTAAATGTCGAACGTAAAACTTGTAGTCTAGAATAACTCCAATCGCATCTCAATTTAAAATAGAAAATTATTCTTAGGAAGGTAAAATTTTTTTTTTTTTTTGTTTGTTGTTTTTTTTTGTAGCTGATTCTGACTAAGTGCATGGCACAAGAAATCGAATCCAATCATAAACGATAGCAAAACTATAAATGTAGTAAATATAAATCTAAATTTCTATCGTATATTCTTTCCGCGTTCGGTTTTGGGTCCACGTGAAGGTCACATGCTTAGTACTCGCCGTTCACACTATACTGAAGAAAAAAATCGTTAATATAAATTCAAAACTAGACAATAAACGTGTGTTCTAGGACTTCTACTGTGACCCACAATCTGCACAATCTCAATCAAAACAACTTCTTGTTGAACAAAAATCGAACCAAACGTGTGTTCTAGGACTTCTACTGTGACCCACAATCTGAACAATCTCAATCAAAACAACTTCTTGTTGAATAAAAATCGAACCAAACGTGTGTTCTAGGCCCTTCTACTGTGACCCACAATCTCAAGATCAAAACAAATTCCTGTGGAACAAAGATCGAACCATGAATAATAATCAGTGCTTTCTATAAATAAGTATAGAAAGAATATAAAAGACTTAAGAACGGCCTGGGCTTAATTAAGTCACTGCCATTAGCTGAAAAAGTACAGAAAGTTTCAGTTTTCTGGCTCTATTAGTTAGAGGACACGGGATATAGGTTCTTAAGTTACTAAAGGTTATATTTACGATTCTTCTCCACTGCATCAGATATCCGGCTTTCGTTACAGGTCTCGATAGTAGGGTATGGTAATGATAAAGATCAAAGTATTAGCCATCTTTTATTGTCATGGACAAAATAATTGTCTGAAATGAAGAATGCCGGTTTTTCCATATTCCTTGGTTACCAAAGTCGTTTTACATCTTTAATCCTTCATTTCCTTTCCTTTTCCTATCTTTTCTTTCTGTGTGATTTGTTTGTTTTGTTTTGTTTTGTTTTGTTGTTGTTGTTTTTTTTGTTTTTTTGTTTTTTTTGTTTTTTTGAACCGCGTTATCCTTATCTTTGTATGAGTATTTTTTCTTCTTGTCGGTTTCTGAAAATGAAAGATTTTTTTATTCATACCGTAATCAGAGTAAACGTATATTTCAAGTCCATGATAACCATATATCTATTTAGAAAAGTTTCCAATCAAAGACAATTTTGTTAAGTAGCAGAGACAATACGGAAGTTTAATATTAGTTCATAGTTTAGATAGCAAGCAAGAGCTATTTCAGTTCCGAGTCGACAAAGGGAAAGCCCCTGCATGTAAATAGGGCATTTGTTAGTGGTCGCTCATTGATGAACAATATCAAATTATCACACGGAACTGCATATAAATGAACCTGGAGCCTTGACCAATTCGAAGTTGTGAGCTGAAAGACGGCGGTTGTTTAACGACATCATCTCAAGCAACAAGTGGTCTTTTCTGGATCTTATTCTATTTCACGGTAAAAACTCCAGAGTCAGGTACTAAATCATCATATTATTCTTACTAGCAAATCTCAATGAAAATGTCTGTGCTTTTACACAAGACACACCATTACACTGCCACTCTTCTACTTTTCCTGATCGACCCTAAACAAAAGAAACTCTATTATCTTTCTTAAAAGATTTAAAGTAGAATATAGAGTTTAAAGTAAAGTCTAAATAATGCATCAATAGCTATGCTTTCATTAATATGAATGCGAGTACGATCATTTTGTTCGAGCTTCAGTATTGCTTACACTAGAAGCAAGCACACGCTTTAAAAAAATTAATTTGCATATTCAATCTTTTATTTTGAAAGAAAAATAACTATTCTTCAAATGGTATAATTGTTCGTACATACAGTCAATGTCATCAACGTTGTTCACCGAAAAAAGACATTTACACATTTACACATTTAGACTTAAAGATATATCACKTGTTTCATTATGTATTCTTTGCCTCGTGTGCGTCAGCCTGAACTTTAAATGTAACTGAATTCTACTCGTGAATCGAAAATCCAGAATGCCCGCTAACCAGTTAGTGATGATTTAAGATGAAAAATGGCATTTCAGCGTTTGTTTTTTTCTAAATGTCTAAATGTCTTTTTTCGGTGGACAACGTTAATGACATAGACTGTATTTTGCTATTCAAGGTTCTTTGATGCGAAAAAAAAAAAAAACAGACCGCCGGTAACGCAGTCTACGATGACCTTGAAATCTTGTAGTACGAAACAAACTGAGCTGTTCAAAGTCTTTGTATATACTTGTCAGTAGACTTAAAATGTCATACTTAGAGCAAAAATAGTTGTTATGTCAACACTAATTAAAAATTCAATTTCTGTTTATTGAAAATATTCAAATTACTATAAAGGCATGGTAGGCAACCAGCCGAGGAGGGCCACTTCCGACTTCCGACTTCTGAGTTCCGACTTCAAACTTCCGGTGTTAACTCTTTTCATTCATACACCAACATCTCCTCCTCTTGACAACTCTCTTCTTCCACACACCCAACTCTTTTCATTCATACACCAACATCTCCTCATAATAGTGACAACTCTTTTCGTCCATACTGACCAACATCTCCTATTCTATTTTCTCTGCTTTTTTTAGATCGATCTAAAAAAAAGCAGAGAAAACAGAATAGGAGATGTTGGTCAGTATGGACGAAAAGAGTTGTCACTATTATGAGGAGATGTTGGTGTATCCCCAAATTTTATTTAGCTCTTTATAACTTTTTATTCAAAAGGTAAAGTCAGGTAGTGAAGAAGTATGGAAAAAAAAGACTTGATATCTCCTCTTCTGTGGGATGCAGAAAACGGCAGAGTCTCTGGTGAAGAAATACGTGATCCAAATGCGCTTCAGACCAAAACCAACAAAGTTAACAACAACATTCTGAAAAAAATTTCAATGGTTTTGTATGTGATATTTCTCTTTGGCAGATTATTTATGCTAATCATCTACATCGGAAGAGCTATAAACTGCTGTACTAAAGAAACCAAGGCTTCTTTCCAGTGCAGTAGCGGTGCCTTTGTGCCTCATGACATGGAAGTTGAAATGTTGTGGATTCTTTCAAGTGTCATCAACATGGCCATTTGTCTGCGGTTGATGTTTTACTGGAATGGAGCGGTTTCTGGAATGAAAAAACTTGTTCAGAAACTATTCAAACTTCCTGGATTCTGGTCGTTAATATTCTTGTTTCTGGTCAGTTGTTCGGGGTTCTGTATAATGACAATTAAGAACAATACTTCTCTTTATCAAATAGCTTCGTTTTTCCTGTTTGGCGCGCAAAACCTTTTCATAACAACGACGGTTGCTGTTTTGAACTACACGCAGGTTTATCACTTTATGATACTAGAGGGATACCGACGTGAACTCCGAATTATCATCAAACTTACTCATGTTTTGCTGTTTATGGAATTTTTTTCTTTGTTTCTGATTGGAACAATGCAGTTTGGTTTTCAGGTCACAGGGCTAGATTATTCAGCAGACGCTTCGAGTAGCTTTCGTAAGGTTTTTGGTGAGATGCGGCGGTTTGGCGAATTGATATTCTATTATAATATTCAGAAATTCTTGTGGACAAAATTATTTGTTGATAATCGGAATATTTTAAGTCTCATGCAGTTATTATGTGAACCGCACCAAGGTGATGGTTTTGCTTAGGTATCCGTCCCAGGCCGCTGCGTAATGGTTCTCAGTTTTATAAATTGAATTCCCATACTTGTCATTTTGTCATTTTTTGAAGTATTTCTTGTTCATTTGTAATATAAGCTGGCAATATTTGGAGAAAATGTCATTGACTTTTCCTAAGTCAACATGGGGAACATATTTCTCTATTTAACCGTTGGCAGAAACGCATGAGTGGGAAATGGGCACCCATTTGTCGCACGGGGATTTGAATGGGCAACTGGGACCGACATTATTAACGGCTGAAAAGGAGATTACTCGCTTTTGGGCAGACAGACGCTTATGGGCAGATARTATTCATTACATCTAGTAAGATATAACGATAAAACATCAGAAATATGGAGAGAAAAATACCAAGAAACCAAGTAAAGTAAGAGAACTGTCAACAAACTGTTCCCAAATGTCAAACAGGAAAGCATAGCTCTACTTCTCGGATCGACAGCGCTTTACCGCTGTGCATCATGGATAATTCCAACCGAACGTAAGCCAGACGAAAACACTCAAATGGCTTTCGAGACTTCCTAATGTAAAAACTTAGTATTYGTACTCGCTCCAGACTTACTCGTATTATTCCGATATTTGTAGTCAACTGTGTGTATTTAGATGATATATAAATATTAATCGTTTTCCACTATCAACAGGAGTAAAATAAAGTGAATGCAAAAATATAGATGACTTYGATTGTTCTAGATCTTTGCCAACGAAATGCTTGCTCAGTATGTACCCCTTCCACTAACCGGGTCGAGACTTTAAGCGCTAATGATTTCGATAAAGCCATTTTTTATTRAGATCAATTTGTGAATATTGTACCGTGTATCCTCACCTTGATGATAGCTTAAACTTACAAGATGCTGTGCACGTTTACTGTTCAAAACATTGACGTCCGTTAAATGGGTGCACGACTGCGGGGACTGAAAAACGAGATTAGAAAATCAAGTTTCGGAAATCTCCCATATATGCAGAGAAGAATGTTTTTCTTCGATAGCGAACATGATGCATTTGGTCTAGCTTAGGCAAGAATAATACGCCATATGAGGCATAATGAACAAAGGGGTTTGTCATAAGCTTCATGGTCCACGTAGGCATTCCACCGAGTTGGCTGGCTCATAAATAAGCTCTATATATGTAGCGAAGTGAAAAAGCTCTTTTTAAATAGAAATTAACGGATTAAAATGAATACTGAAATTACCTTTAGTTTCGATCCATAAGAAAATCTTAATGATTTGCCCAGCTAAGTGGCGTTTTTTTCCTTTTTTCTTGACATTATCATTTACACAATCATATATTATTTTTGAATAAAAGCAAAACTGCGATAGTTTCGATAGCAATATAGGATTACCTCAGTAGGAAAGACAAAGAAATGCGTGTGATGATCGAAACTTTCATTTCTTGAAATAATATTTATTCTTGTTACGATTTCGAAAGATAATGAAATTTATTCATTTTGATCGTCGCTCCAGCAGCTCCAGGATATACACGTTCGCAACAAGAAGTTATGTGCAACCTTTGAAACCAAAATGACCAGACTCGAAAGACTTCAGAGAGTTTTGTGTGTTTTGTTTAGTATATTTCTGGTCTGGAGGGCTGTGGGAGCTTTATTGTACGTCATCCGGGCATTCGTGTGCTGTGTAGAGGAGCGAAGAATCAGCTTCCTTTGCCACAACTTCACGATGTATTCTCACTCGTTGGAAATCGAAATTTGCTGGGTCTATTCTCACATCATATCACAAATTATTAGCCTAGTGGTGCTCATCAAAGCACCGACGTTCTTTGGGTGGAAAACTCTTGGAAAAAAGCTTCTCCGTTTGCCGAATTATCTATCATTGAACTTGCTGTTACTGCTCACCTTGGTTGGATACTGTGCCATTTTCATTTACCATAAACAAACAGCATTAGAAAAAACGACGAACTTTGCTTTTATAATAAAAGCAATTCTCTCAGTGGTTTTGATGGCAGTTTTGAACTTTACTCCTCTTAGTAGGCTATCGGGACAGCATCTTTTTTTTCGAGTTCTTTGCAAGACAACCCTGTGTTCTTTCGCTTTGGATAACGCATTATTCTGTCTAGTCGGCACCATCCAGTTAGCCTTCCGAGTCAACGGATTGGATCGCGTACATCATTTGTTTAGCAGTGAGTTCCATATTCTGTTTACCGCCCTACGCCGCCTTACGATAGTCGCTTTTTACTACAGGATCACCGACTTTTTCTGGCAGAAAATCTTCATGGATCGTAACAATCTTCTCAGCTACGATCAGAAATTTGAAGACAGGGACCTTCTGCCAATCAACTCTAGAGAAAGAGAAAGTTACCAAGCATTAATCTGATGTTTGAGCTCTAGATTTTGGTATTTGTTGATGTTCTACAAACTAGAACCTTCCATCAACCATTTACACTGGCAAAGGAACCAAGAATTTGTGTGACAGACGAAAAGAGGAAGTCCTGTCATTTGAATTTTTAACCTTCAAGTCTTTATGGAAAGCGAGTGGAAATTCCTTACTGAGACAGTCAGGAATTCGATGTGAAGAAATAACTAGAAAGAAGATGAGTTCGGAACAAGCATCAATCTTATGAAATTTTGAAAAACATCTGATGTTATTGATTTAGAGTTGTTTTAATTTTACAAAAAAATTCTACAAAGCTTTTGCTGTTGTATCACAGGGACAATCCGACAGAGCTAGGCTCCAAACTAGGTGAAAGCCCAAATATGAAATTAGAATTTAGAAGTTGATTTTTGAGGAGGGAGGAAAATTGTATTTGATGAAAGTTTCAATGCCCGCGAACGTCCTTAACGCAGGAGCTTAGTGCTTCAAAAGATATCGTATTACATATTATTAGGATATTATTAGTATATTGTCTATTATTGTGCTATTTTATAATAGCGCCAAGAAATCTTGATCGGGAACAAACGCATGAGAAAGGAAGTTTCAGAGTTGAAGTCTAATGAGGAGAGAGATCTGGAAACGAGATATTATCTTACACTTGTCCTAAATAAAGTCCCAACATTCCATGCAAGACGTGCCCTTCACCACTCTCTCGGGCTTTTACCTCTTAAACAAGTATATTGTAAAAATTTCAAATTCTTTTATTAATGTTTTTTAATGATGTATTTCAATAAACGAATCTCGAGCAAAAATAATCAATTAGGCTGTCAATTTAAATATTTTAATTTATTTACTACACATATGTACAACCGAATAATAATTTATACATATATTATTCACACGAGGGGAAGTGGTCAATAATAAATAAGATGAAAGTAAAATACCTATGTATGATATGCACAGGGGAAAAAACTGGATTCCCAAATTGGGAATCGTGGGAATTTCCTTGAATTCCCAATTCGAACACCAACGTTTGGATTTATTGTTGGGAATTTCCTTCTAATACCCAATAGAAAAACAAAATTCCCAGCAAACTAACATTGGGAATCAGTGCCACGTTCCCAATTTCATTCTCTCTGGGAATTGAATGGGAATTTGTTGGGAATTCAAGGAAATTCCCAACAATTCCCAATTTGGGAATCCGGTTTTTTTTCCTGTGATGATAGTTAACGAGCCTGTAAGCTCTCCCTGTATCTAATATGCAAATATATTGAATGTTTCATTGACGAATCAAAATTCCATGCAGGTTGACGCCAGCACTAACTCGGATTCTATCGTGCAGTGTAAAATCTACTCAACTACGGCGGTTGTTGAGATTAAAATGGATCAGTTCGCGAATGAAGAAATGGTTCATAGGCTCATTATGATACTCTTATTTAATGCTAATTATAAAGCAACTGGACTATAACGTAAATGACCTTCGCCCCATCTACCCTATGATATATACATAGCAATTATTCTTCGAGACGACTAGGCTATGAGTCAATGGGCCATGACACCGAAGGTCGAATGGGCCACTGACTCATAGGCCATGAGGGCGAGAGGAATAACTGTTTTAGTCAAATCCAACTAGTCGGTCAAATATATAGATGCAAACAAATCTTGAATTTAAGTTAAATTCAAGTTTTGGTTTTCAAAGCCGGCACTAACTTTTTGCTACTAGTCGGATATATTCTATTCTTCGTTTGCAATAGACGTCATAGCCACCATGTTGGAAGAATTTGGCAAAAGATTTTTCAATGGATTCTTTTGTTATATTTTCCAACATGGCGGACATCCCTTTTGTTATTGTGCTCTCTTGGGATTGATTGCAAACCAAGAATAGCCTAGTAGTAGCTCAGCATTGATGTTAGACCACTACTTGGATTTGACTAAATAGAATTATTTGAATTATTGATTTCCAAGATAAAAGACACCCAATATGAAATACCAGCCAGATGTGTCATGCCATGAGACATTGTTTGATAACCTATCAATGTTTCTTACTGTTTCAACAGTGATGGTCTAATGGATCTAATATATCTATCCCCCCATACTCGAGTCACTGTGGTAGTTGCGAGTGGTCAGCTCCTACTTCCGCTTTTCAAACAGCCATGAGTCATCGGCCTGTTTCTCTTGTGCAAGATGTTCTTGCTTCAATAATCCATAGGCTGAAAAATCAACGAAAAAATACTTTGAGTTATGATGTTACCACATAACGAAACATATGGAGTTGATCCTAGTTCGTTCGAAACAGCCCGTAACTAAAAAAACGCATCTTCTACTCATTATTGAGCAAATTGACCTCCGTAAACTTGCCTGAATACCAGATAGAGTACTTTATAGGAAGCAGGGACCGCGCGGAGACGGGTGGGGGGATTTTTAGGGTTGTCCGCGGTCATTGGGAAGCAGAAAATCTTTTGAAAATCTTTTAAAAACCTTTTGGCATCAAACCATTTTTACTTTCACTAAAAATGCCTATTTTATACGTCATTTTGAAAAGCCAAACAAAGCTAAACCGAATAATGACATATGGTATAAAACTTTTATTCCTTATATATAATGGACGCTTTGCACCATCACGTGACGCGGGCAGCCGTGTTAGATGGCAGGAACAATACATTCGTTTTACATGAGAAAGAATTCAATTCCCGAAAGCAAAGGGATTTTATTGTTCTTCCATCTAACCACATGTCCAATTTAACTGTATTATGGGCACCAACACGTGATGGTGCAAAGCCTCTTTTAAGAAAGTACATGAATGAACGAGCAGCAGTAAGGGGGACTCGCGGTCACCATTCGGAATCGCCCGGGAATTACCCGTGTTTACGCACTAGCGTCCCCCGCGGGAATTACCCGTGT